GATGCAATCAGCCTTCACCCCCCGAGAAGCGAGATCGGCGGGGTTGCTTTTAGACGGCACATAATTCCATGTCTGGCCGTTTGTAGCTTCTTGGATTTCACTCACTCTATTGCGAACAAATTGTTCGAGGCGACTTGGCAATGTTTTCAGCCATCCTAGAACGATCGTTGAATCGCACCAAAAATAACAATGATGAAATTTTAGAGTAAGTGATTTACGTACCTTCAGAAAAAGTCTTGTACCCAATAAAGCACCACACAACTCTAATTTTGGTATAGTTGTGGGTTTTATAGGGGCTACCCGGTTCTTTGAAGCTAACAGGCGAACGCAAACTATTCCATCGACTGTTATCGTTCTTATGTAGATACATGCACCATAAGCACGTTCGGAGGCGTCTGTGAACGTATGTAATTCTAGTGATGTAGCATGATTACACGATACCCAACGAGGAATGTAAAGAGAGTTAAGCGCTGAAAGCGATTGTATGAATTCAAGGAATTGTGATTTTATTTCTGGAGGAACTTCATCATCCCAATTACATTTGAGTATCCAAAGCTGCTGTAATATAAGTTTGACCTGAACTATGCATGGTCCAACTAGACCTAGAGGATCAAACACTTGGCTAATTAAAGATAAAATATTACGCTTTGTGATTTTTGTAATTGGTTTTACATCGATAACATAAAATAATTTGTCGGTATTGCAGTTCCAATATAACCCAAGTGTCTTGTGGCAAGTATCACTTAAGATTAATTGTTTATCACTGCTATATGTGTTGATATTTGTGACGGATTTTAATATTTCTGGATTATTAGATTGCCATTTCCTAAGATGAAAGCGAGCAGATTCAAGAGCATTAACTACTCCTTGACATACGCGTGTGACTGCTTCGATTGAATCTGCGCCACTAAGATAGTCGTCGACATAAAAATCACGTCTGATAGACTGACTAACTTCTGGATCTGAACATTGATCTGCAAGAGACACAAGACATTTAGTTGCCAAGTATGGGGCTGATGCTGTACCGTACGTCACTGTATTCAGTGCATACGTTTTTAAAGGGTCTGATGAATTTGATCTGAAAACAATTTGTTGCAATGGGCGTTGAGATGGTTCTACTAAAATAGCTCGATACATTTTTTCTATGTCGCCCGTTACGACATACTTGTGTTGTCTGTATCTTAAAAGTATGGATAGTAGATCCTCCTGTACGGTTGGACCCACCATCTGAATGTCATTAAAAGACTTGCCCGAGGTACTGGAGGCAGAAGCATCAAAGACGACACGAAGCTTTGTCGTAGTACTTGACTCCCGTACGACCCCGTGATGTGGCAAAAAGTAATGGGTTTCTGAATGAATTGGTTTTGAATATTGTGTCATATGATGAAGATCAATATATTCTTGCATGAATTGTAAGTACCTGTTTTTAAATGTCGAGTCCCGCTCAAATCTTCGCTCTAGGGAAAGGAAACGACGCTTGGCCATCGCATACGAGTCACCTAAGCACTCGGGCGAGTCCTTTAAAGGTATAGTGACAACGAATTGACCATTTGGATCCCGACGTGTGGTCTCGGAAAAGAGCTTTTCACAAGCTTGCTCTTCTGCAGAAAGCAGCTAGCAGACGACACAGTATCAAGTTCCCAGAAGCGAGTCAGCTGGTCAGACTCCTCATGTGAAAGGAAATGACAAACAGAAGGTTGTGAACGAACACGAAGCTGACTAACGTAGCCCGAAATAAGCCAACCGAGTTTGGATGATTGTAATTTAGGTTGTTTATTGCCTAAATTAATGGTATTGGAACCTATGACGTCCCAAAATACCTCAGCGCCTACGAGGATGTCAACAGCAGCGGGAATGTTATAAGTAGGATCTGCTAGTTGAATACCTGGCGGTATGGCTATATATCTCTTATCGACGTAAGAACCCGGCAGCGATTGCGCAATCTTTGGCAGGATGTAACAGCTTACCCTCGCCTGATAACTACCGTAACAAGATTGCAAAATAAGATTGCAGCTTTCTGAAGTACTAGAAACTTGACCGTTAATACCTGTGACAGTGGAGTTAGTGCTGTACGTTACCAGGCCAAGTTTCTCACATAGCTCTCGGGTCACGAAGTTTGAGGTGCTGCCGTTGTCCAACAGGAGCCTGACAGTATGAAGTTCACCATTGACATCGGACACCTTTGCCAAGGCTGTGGATAGTAAAATTGTAAAGTTATTAGTATCTGAGTAGGGTAAAGCAACTAGTTGATAACGCAACACTGTGTCCTGCCTGTTGTTCTGTAGATGAATCTCTGTGTAAAAGGGTATTGTGTTTCACTTTACAATATTTGCAATGTGATAAACTGCAACGCTTTGCTGTATGACCAGGTCGAAGGCAATTTAAACAAACATTGCTTTCTATTGCCTTTTTTAATCTTGATTCAATATCTAAGTTTCTGAATGTTTGACAGCTAAATAAAAAATGATTTTGAGAGCATGCTGGACATTTAATGTCGTCCTTATTGTAAGTAGGTTTAGGTTTTGTTATTGTATGATATGTTTTTGATTTATTGTTGTCGTTAGAATATTTAGTGTTTGTATTATTTGAATATGTGGTGTTTCTGTTGTAATTTAAGGAGTCCAAAAAGTCAGCTCTGTTATTTAAAAATTTAATATATTCCTTTAAAGTTGGAAATGAATCTAAATTATTTTTATATTCCTCCCATTCCCTGCGTGTAGCTCTGTCAAGTTTTTCTGACATAATATAAATTGTAAGGGTTTCTCCAAGACCCCCATGCTCACAAGACTGCCCTAATGTTAACAAAGCACGTATGTTTTTATTAGTTACATCAATCATGTTGCGCAATTGACTACAAGATTCTTGTTTTATATGTTCAAAATTAAATAATGCCTGCACGTGATTATTTATAAGTATTTTTTCATTATCGTATCTTTCGATCAACAATTGCCATGCTAAATCATAATTATTAGCTTTAAAATCAATGCTTTTTATAATTAAAGATGCACTACCTTTTAGGGCTGCACGTAAATAATGGAATTTGTTTATGTTTTGTATGCTGGAATTATTATGGATTAGGGAAATATACGTATCTCTAAATTCGAGCCAGTGCTGATAGTCCCCGTCGAAATGAGGCAAGTCTATCTTAGGCAGGCGAACAAAGTCGTGCCTGCAGTCAGGTCCGCGGTGTTGAAGAGCGTCAGTGGAAATGGCAGACTCGAGTGCAGGCGAAGATGCACGCACAGGAACCAGAATGGTTTGCGCGCGCGCCAGCTGCGCATGGAACTGCGCCTCGAACTGCTCCCTTTCGGCATACATGTCGTCCGCGTTCTCCGACAACATTTCCAGCTCGGTCTGTAACACGTCATACTCCTTATAAAGTATTTGCATTAGGCTAAGACGGCTTTGTAGCTCTGCTGTTTGAAAACTGTCTAACTCCGTGTCAGGCAGAAATTTTAAAAAGTTACTAAAATGTGTAAGCTTGGCTTTGAAGCTGCCACGCTCTTTATCAGCTCCTTAACCTTTGCATCGGACATACTGAGTAAGCAGAAAGGTGTTTAAGATGAAGCAAAGGATTAAAATTACAAAAAAGGCAAAGAAACAATAACGTAAGCAAGTGACAAGTACCTGTACTAGTATACGTCAATAGTTGACGAAGATAAATAACAGCTGATTTAGCTAATATGCATTCAATAAAAACAGTTTGTATAAAATATTAAAGTTGTTTTTCAAGTTTAAAGAACCAGATGTTCAAGCATGCGATAAGCGAACAAAAGAAATATCTATAGGTACTTTATAGCACAGATTGTTCGATGCAATATGATTTCTACATTAAATAGTAAACGTGATTTGTGATGATGAATGATTTTTAATTACTATTACTTTGGCTATATATGTACTGAATAAGCTATAACTATGAAGAGATCAATCCATGCCTGATCCGTATAGCACTATTTAAATCCTTGGAATGGAAATGGACAAAATACAGGAAATGAGGATAAATGGAACGGACTCACTCAGAATTATGACCCTCTGGGTAGACTGTTCGTTAAGTCGTCGTCCTGTGTCTTCCACGTTGCAGGCGACCACGCGTCCGGACGGCCAGTCCAAAGTCCACAGAAGGCATGCGCAGCTTAATAAGACGGCGATCCTCTTGATTCGAAGGACCAATGTTTGAATATCAAGCTCCAGGTGTGTTGCTGGTGGTCTTGACTAATAAAAGACTTCAGTATGAAGAGAAGAGACTGTATTTAAATAGGTGCTGATTGTTAGGGTCAACCGATATGTGCGCACGGCGTCGTGTCGGGCGAGCGAGTGCATGGATGACCGTCGATCGCAGCGGTCGCGGGCCACGTATGGTGGTGAGCCCGATGTGACGTCAGGAACACCTCTTCTTATACTGAGAAGGTTTAAGCATTGATCACCAACCACGCTTGCTCAATGCGGGTTGGCGATTACAAACTTATAATTAGAAATTATAAGTCCAAGTTTCCTCACGATGTTTTCCTTCACCGTTTGTCAGTGGTGTCTAGATAATCTTAGAAAGTACATATAACTCGGAAAAAATCACATTGGTACATGCCGTTGGTAGGTTTCGAACCCGCACCCACATGCATGAGAAGCAGGCGTCTTAAACCTTCGGACCACCACGACATAAACATCGACCTGTTAAGAAAATAAACTTATATTCGACTGTTTCTGGTATATCCTTACTAATATTATAAATCGGAAAGTGAGTTTGTTTGTTTGTTCAACTATCACGCCATAACTACTAAACCGATTGCTATGAATTTTTGCGGATGTATACTTAGAAGTCCGGATTAAATAATAGGGTACTTTTATCCCGGAAAAATTTGATATTCCCGAGGGAAAACAAAAGTATTGGTATAGATGGCGCTGTGTGTATTGGTATATGTCACATTGGCTTTTTATCCTTTTGTGACGCGAGCGAAGCCGCGGGTAAAAGCTAGTAAGTAATAAAAGAATGTATCTGTTTGCAGGCGCTGGTGTGTGTCGTGTGTGTGGAGCTCGGCCAGTGTGCTGCTACACCGGTTGCTAACTGCACCACTCCCTCAACTGCCCGGCATCGGGCCGCAGCCTAGTACTGGGGCGCAGCCCGCGGCCGGGCCCCGCGTGCGGCGCGCCGGCACCGACCACCTACACCCCGAGCCGCGCGTCGAGTGCGTCGAGCTCCATGCGCCGCCACCACATGCGCACCAACTCGATGTCATATTTGTGCATGGACTGTACGGTGTGTAACGTTACATTGAGCTAGGTGTAGTGTCGGTGTAGTGTCGGTGTGGGTATTTATATGTGAGGTCTGTGCACTGCAGGGTCTCTAGGTAACACATGGCGGCAGGGCGAGTGGCGAACTAAGTACAAGTTGGACCCCACCAGGGTCCCGCTCCGCAACCACGAGGCGGCCCCGTGCGCGTGCACGCACAGCGCGCAGCACGGCGCACCGCACAGCTCACAGCTCGCTGCGTACGAGAGCAAGCTGCACGAGCTGTACAAGGAGGCGATGCGCGGCGACCACTACGAGGCGCAGGCCAAGTTCGTCACACAACTGTACCACAGTGACTGCAAGCCAGAGTGCCACTGCACCGGTACCTGTACATGTAGCGCCCCCGCCGCGCCCAGCGAGTGCAAGTGCGCCGGGGGCGCGGGGGGCGCGGGGGCGCGGCGCTGCCAAGCAGGCTGCGGCTGTGTATGTGACGCGTGCTACTCGCTGTGCTGGCCGCGCGACTGGATCAAGGAGGACTTCCCGGGGGCGCGCGTCATCTCCGTCAACTACACCAGCGACCCTTATCTGTGGCGCCCTCTGTGGGTTAAGGGGAATAAGAGGTAACGCACTTACACACTGAACTCACACTGGTAGTACGACTCTTGCTGACACTATGTATGTCTTAGGCTGAGGCTACACGAGCGCGCGGAGCAGATGACGCAGCAGTTGCTGGCGCTGGGCGTGGGCCGGCGGCCCGTCGTGTGGGTCGGACACTCCAAGGGGGGACTGTTCATCAAGCAGATATACTGCGACGGTAAGGCACTGTCAGCTCCATTCTTCTTTAAACTATAAACTTCCCACTGATAGGAAGTAATTTATTTATTTATTAAAACTTTATTGCACATATAGTGAAATTGGCGGACTTAATGCCGTAGGCATTTTCTGACAGTCGACCATTGGGTGGTGCAGAATGTTAAAGCGGTAGGTGCAAAATTGTAAAAAGAAAGTATGAAGTAGATAACGAAGTTAAGGTAATAAAATATTGAAGAGGGAAGACATGATTGTTATAGTCGATAATACATAACTAAGGGTATAGGGTAAAATGAATTATATAATAAATATAATATATCCCAAATATGCATACATATAATATAATACATACATATATAAATAAATGCAATACATAGACTACATATTACCATAATTTCATATCATGTCTATTTTTGTTCTGCCACTAATTCTTCAAAGATCCTACTAGTTAATCACAATATAACTCCTGGAATTCGTAGGCTCCTCAACCACTAAATTAAGACCAGACAGTGTTGTACTAGTATTAATGACATGTGTGTTGCATGTTACAGCGTATGAAGCTCACGTGAAGGTGAGCGGAGTGAAGGAGGCGGCCCGACGAGACGTCATCAACAACAACAACACAGAGGCGGGGCCCGACACACAGTGCTGCCAGCACGCGGGGTCCCTGCTCGATAACTACCGGCGGGGCCCGGCCGCGGGGGACGGCCGGGGCCCGCGCGACACACTGCGCAGTGTCAGCCACATGACGGCGCTGCGACACAACCACAACTCGGGTGAGCTCGATGTAGTGGATGTTCCGGGTGTCCCACACCCACTCGACGACAACTGCAACCCGCCGCCCGCTGTGGACAGCTCGCAGTGTGGCGACCTCACTACAGGGGGCGCGGGGGGAGACCAGGCGGAGAGCATTGTGGAACTGGCTCCGAGTGATGAAGGTAAGTCGTCTCTGTACTTATGTTATAAAGAAGTTAGACTCGACAATGCTTGCTTATTTGTATGGACCGTCACCGGGTCCCCAATCACGAGGAGTCTACATTCAGTGCAAAAGAAGTACTAGGCGGACATCCAGCGTCATAGAAGTCGTGTAGATAGTAATATGTGTGTGTGTGTGTTACAGAGGTGCGCGGGCGGCTGTGGTCGTCGTCGTGCGCGTTCATGTTCTACTCGGTGCCGCACCGCGGGTCGTCGCTGGCCGACATCAAGGCGCCGCTCACTGCGCGCAGCGTCGAGCTCATGGAGATCGCGGCGGACTGCCAGCTGCTGCGGACGCTGCAGGCGCGGTGGTTGGAGGCCACCAGCAGCACTAGCTCCGTCCCGCGGCCCCGCGTGCACAGTCTGGTCGAGACATGTCGCACGCTGATGTCAGTGCTGTGGCTGCGCATCGTTAGTACCGAGTCCGCGGACGCCGGCGTGGGGTCACTGCTGGGCGTGGGCGTGGACCACCGCGAGATCTGCAAGCCCAGCAGTCGAGCGTGTCCGCTGTACACAGAGCTCACGCAACTCATTCGCGCCGCGCTACACAACTGCCACTGTCGCTAGAGTACAAGCACCAGTATAAACTGACCTTCGAATTTGCGGAGAGTTCGTATAAAGCGAGACCATGATATACTGGGTGTGTATAGGTCGACGTGGTAGTGCAGCTGTGTGTACTTCTGACATATATTGTGACACACACACACACAGGGAGAAACTATACGAAGTACCTGCCTATATCTATCCGTCCGTGTGAGTCAGGTTACCGGAGGCCGGAGGCCCAATTACCCACCTCCTTTTCCTCAATCTCCAACCAACGATCCTCAAACTCTTAATCTCCAAAAGGCCGGTAACGCACTTGTAACTCCTTGGTGTTCCGGATGTCCATGGGCGACGCCGATTGCTTACCATCAGGTGATCCTCTCTATGGGTAGGTTTGCGCATCGGAGGTGGAATGTTGTTGTGCCGTCAAAGGTCAAAAGTCGACTGCCACCGTAAGACTACTATCGGTTGCGCTGCAGCGCTTATACACACATACACACGCATATTTTTATCCGTGTGCGTACGCGTGCGTTTTTATGCATTGCCGTGTGAACATCACTCACGGTGACTTTTGACCTTTGACTGTACAAGTAAAGTTTCTCTCTGTGTGCCATTATAGTGGTGGGACACGTAGTGGTAGTGTTGTGCCGCAGTGACGACCATAGACTACAGACTGAGTGACACTCGTAACTTATAAAGTGATAGTATTGTCTATGGATAAGTGCCCGCTCTAACTCTGTTGGTTCAAGGACGATGTAATGTTTGTGACTGTGATGTGAACAGCCTGCTATCAATTATCCGAAACCAAATTTCGTTATGAATTTAGTTTCTATATTATCGAAAATTCGAATCCGTAGACAAAGTTCTGCTTAATGAAAAAATTAAGTGTACTCTTTGGCACAACAGATTATATTCGTTCGATAACGAAATTTTGATTCGTATAAATGAAGTAAGCGTCTAATACCCGTTTCCACCTACCTCTCCTAAATTTTAAGGAACCCCTAAGCTAAGTGACCTTTAACGATGTCTTGGTTTTCGCCAAATTATACGTGACACGTGACACCTAACGGTACAAGTGAGAAGGGGTTAGGTTAAGTGCGTCACGCTAAGTAACACTTAGTTGAGAGATGGTTTAGGTGTGGTTGGTGGACACGGCCACAAGAATAGAATCTTTAAGAAAGAACGATTCCATATTGTGTCGCATTTATCGCCGGTTACCTATCTAGTGCTATAGCAATAAATGAATTATTTTGTTATAATATATTGTGATTGCTCTGCTGACGCTGTAGTGGAGCTACTAGCTAGTAACTATACTAAGTAGATATACTTTAAAGGTACACATACATTACCGTGTCGTGCGCTTTAATAAAGTATTGGTTTCATATTATGGGGGATACCGTTTTTCCGACCACTAGATGGCGCTAACTTAAAAAAAGTCAATTTGTCCAATCACTGCAGCTGTCGAACATTAAATGACCAATGGTGTGTGGCTGGTCGCACACTAGCGCCATCTATTTTTTTAATTCTTTCTTTTCTTCCTCCTGGTAAGCGTGAAAACTGTAGCTCCCAAGACTATGATTAGCGACACTTCTTGTATGTCGTGTCGTGTCGCCAAATGCGTGCATCTGATTGGCTGGCGGCCCCGGCGCGGTAGTGTGTGTGTGGCGCAGTAGTGTGTAGTGTATCGTGTGTCGGCGCATGAGATGCGGCGGCGCCATGTTATGTTTATTGTATCAATAAATCAGTGAACAAGTGCCCGTCTGACTTTCATTACTACCTTTACATAATTGTACTTTTTTATTATACTTTCAGCTTATACACGTAATTGTTCGACGAGGTGACTGCCTCGTTCGCCGAGTGGTTGCAAGTCCGACTGCCGGGCTTGGGGTCTCGGGTTCGATTCCCGAGTCGGGCAAAGTATGACAGGGTTTTTAAAAAAAACCTCAGTAGTAGCACGGAGTCTGGAATTGTGCCCGGTATATGGCAATAGGCTCACCCCCTATTACATGGGACTCATAACATAAATAGTGAAAAGTAGGTGTTACTTCTGTGTGCACTTCTGCCTACCCCTTCAGGGAAAAGGCGTGATGTTATGTTATGTTCGACGAGGAACTCGACTAGTTTCCGTGACACACGACGCGGCTACAGTTCATGAATATGAGCTTCTAGTATGGCTTGAAACTAGTCGAGTTCCTCGTCAAATAATTACGTGAGTAACCCGAAAATAAAAATAAAAAAATAAAATAAAAATAAAAATAAAAAAGTTTATTTCAATTACAAAAGGCATTACATAAAATTATTGGAGATCACCTTTTAAGCAATGGATTGCTTGTGTTAGGAGACTCCGCACTTCCACATGACATTCTAAGTAATTGAAGTTACAATGTAGATAATGTAAACATGCAAGATTAACAATAAAACAAGAAGAAAATAAATCAAGTTAAACTTACAATTCTAATCGCAGAGACAATGAATGTTATTATGAAAATACCAGATCGCACAATGTATGTATGTGTAGTATGTCAATCATGTATAGTGAGTATGTGTATGAGTGATTGAGTGAGTAGGTGAGTGAAAGAGTGAGTGCAAATATGAGTGTAAGATTATCAGGAACTGTGTGAGTTGAGATATATGGTTTTCTTTTTTCTTTTTTTTTTTTTTTTTTTTATCTGTTAATTAACCAGTTCACCAATTAGCCCTACGACAAAGTCTTGGGATCGAAGGAATCCGAAAAGATTACCTTCACTAATTATATCTATGCACACCAGCCCAGTTTTTAATAATCCTGTTATTAAAGAGTGGTTATAACCGACTCAACCTCGTCATACGTCTTTGTTTTGAGCCAGTCCATTACAGCTTTTTTACAGTCCCAAAGTTTCATGGGATAGATTCGTAGTTCTTTGTTCAGCAAGTTGTATAAATAAGATGATTGCCTCGGGTATTGTCTTTTAGCAAAGGCAGATCTCACCCTAACAGTTGGGGCGACCAAATGGTCTCTTCGGTTTTTTGGCTTACAATGGTCGTATGGGAGAGTTATGTGTTTTTTCAGTATGAGTCGGAGTAAGTAAAGTTTTCTAACAGATAAAAGATCAGCTGATAAATAAAGGGCATGCGTAGGGTATCTATAGGGTTTAAAGAACATTACCTTAAGTAAGGCTCTTTGAGTCCTCTCAAGTTCCAAAAATTTCATTTTTGTTGTGCTCCCCAGCAAGGCAAACAATACATGAGGATAGACTGCGCTAAAGACATATAAACTTGCTTCAGGAGTTGCCTTGAAGTCACATGTCGCATGTTTTGAACAACCATATAAGTTTCCTAACTCTATTCATAATAAGTTCGGTGTGCATGTGCCAAGATAAGCGCTGATCAATCATGATGCCAAGATATTTGGTGTGCTGCAACCTGTCTATTGGTAGACAGGAACAGTCTAGTGCTGGGAAGTTGTGGCAAATATGGGCTTTTATTTGGAAATCTTGAGGCGGTTGCGAATTATTATACTTAGTAAAGCAGATGTAGTTACATTTAGAAGCGTTTAGCGTTAGGAGGCTATGGTTTAGCCATGCTGCTATCTTCGCAAGACCATTCTCTGCCAACCCACGAACCTCATCCCAAGTCTTCGCAGTGAAGACGATGGCAGTGTCGTCAGCATAAGAGAAAATATGCCCTCCCTCAATCTTCATGTTACAGAGGCTATTGATGTAGATAAGGAACAAGGTCGGTCCAAGGACACTGCCCTGTGGAACGCCGAAGGTTACCGATGCCTCCGAACTAGAATATGAAGTGATTTTGACCTTATGTTTGCGATTGCTGAGGTAAGATGTAAACAGTTCAAGGGCATGTCCCCTTACACTATGTGTTCAAGCCTCTGCAATAGAAGAGGTGTAGACACGGTGTCAAAAGCTTTCTGAGATCAAGAAAAACCGCTAAACACCTGTCTCCCCGATCCACACCATCCACCAAAACAGATGTTAGTGATAAAACTGCATCCTCAGTAGACCTTCCCTGCCTGAACCCGTACTGAGAGGGTGAGAGTATTTTGTATTTGTTTAAGAACTTCATCAGACGTGAGTTGATGATCTTTTCAAAGATTTTCGAAATGCATGGTAGCACTGAAATTGGTCTATAATTAGATGGGTCGGTTCTTTCGCCAGACTTGAATACTGGTGTTATTAGTGCAATTTTTAAAGCATCCGGGAAGATTCCATGCCTGAAGCATATGTTAATTAGGTGAGTCAAAATTGGTACAATTTGTATGTGTGCAGCTTTTATAAAGTTGACATGTATCTTGTCCCAGCCAGGGGCACTGTCTGATTTCAGGCTCATTAAAGTCGCTCGAATTTCGTCGTGGTCTGTATCAAGAAGAACAAATGATGTCAAAAGACTGTTAGAAGAAAATGAGTCAGTGTTATAACGTGTTGTTGTTGAAGATTGAGAGGTGATGATGCTTTCAGCAAGCAATTTGCCTATATTACAGAAATATTCGTTGATCTTTTCTACAGAGTTTTGTGGATCAGTGAGACTATGTAGTAGTTCCGAGTTATTGTCTTTTTTAGGTTTGCGTTGTGTGATGTCGTTAATTATAGCCCATGTTTTTTTGGGATTTTTAGATGCTTTAGTAAGTTGGTCTCTCTCATACTTACGTTTCTGTTTTCGAATGATAGTACAACAGTAATTTCGATATCTCTTGTATGTGATTTTCAACACTTCATTATAAGGATCAAGCCTAAGTCTCTTTTGCATGTGATTTCTATTATAGATGCAGCGCAGTAAACCAACGGTCATCCATGGTTTTAGGGTTCTATTTTTCAAAGGGATGCTCATAGTAGTTGTACTGAGTTCGACACAATTTTGTAGTATTTTGATTAAGTTATTTGTAATAGTGTTAGGGTTGTCAAGTTTCAATAAATCCGTTAAGTTGTAAACTGTTAGGTGTTCTAACCCAACCTCTAAATTAAAAACTTTCCTTATTTTCTGTTGCCTAATTAAGTTTTTATGACAAGTGATTTTTAAGAAAGTCATGAAAT